GGAGGGAGAGAGAGAAAAGAAGACAGAGAGGGAGAGACAGAAACAGACAAAGAAGAGAGAAAAAAAGAGGAAGCAAGAAAGGGAGACAGACAGAGTGCTTCTTTAAAAAGTAACCCTCTTTAAATCCAATTTTACTTGAATTAGGCCAACTTGTAAATGGATCCTTCTGTAACAGGTATGCCCATCTTTCTGGTTTTAAGATTAAATTATAATTTTTTTATTTGTAATTCACAAATATAAGTGAATTCTTCAGTTTTTTCTTGTATTATTTTGTAAACATTTTGTTTTTAGGAATCTAGGAATTAAATATTAATTTGAAAAATATATCTCCGTATTTAGGGTATTGAAATTTTGAGTTCTGAAAGAAAAAACAACCATGTTTATTTATATCATTACTTGAAGATTAAGGCCTAAATGCTCTTTTTATGGAGCAGTCGCAGTGGTACAGGTAGTGTTCTTTTCATTTCCATGTTCAGGGAACCTTCAGGGAAATTCTATTGAAAGAATTCTTCTTTGAAATTTGCAAGAAAAAATGAAAAGACATTCACAAATATCTTTCTTGGAACCAGACATTTAAATAAAAATCTGCTTCCTTCCTTGATTTGATATAGACCTATTGAAGTGAGATGTGGCATTAAGAGGATAACAAAAAAAAAAAAATTGTCATATTGGAAGAAAAAAAATGCTTAACCCAGGGGAGATAAGGGTAATTACTATACAGTTTAAAATCTTGAACTCCCACTCATCTTGTGCTTTCTGAGACACAGGTGTAATAGATAGCTGGATAGGTAGATCCACTTTGCAAATTGCTTATAAGACAAGGAAGGAGTTTGACCAAAGTCATAGTTTGGAGTTTCAGCATTTCAATATCACCATCATTGCTCAGCCTTTTAATGACAATAGAATATTTAGAACATTTAACATTTTTTTTTAATTTCAGACTTGAATAGAATAATTGGAATCCATGTATGAAAGTCCAATGACTCTTGCCATTCCTTCTCACAGGAAAAAACCCACCTTTTTTATCTCCAAAAACAGGACAATGTGCTAGGAACCTTCTTCCATGAGAAATCATATGTACACAGTGTTTTATGCAAAACATTCCACATCCCACTCTCTGCATATCCAATTGTCCACACTAGAAGGCTCAGAAGCAAAGCCAGTTTGGAATGAATGGAAATTGATAATAGTTGATTTTAAGTTAAAATGCAAGAAGGCCCTCTGGCAGTTGGAACGTTGATTATGCCCCTTTTTCCTTTTCAGTTTTTAGTACCTTTCAACAGTTTTTACTTGCTGCATTAATTAAGGATTACTAATAATCCTCTATTAGAACTTTTCCTCTGATAATACTTTGGAATGTAACTGTAGATTTCCAGTCAGACAGCGACAGTTTTAACCCTACTCTGTGGGAGGAACAGCGCCAACAACGAATGACTGTCGCCTTCGAATTTGAAGACAAAAAGGAAGAGGACGACGGTGCTGGAAAAGTGAAGGTGAAGCTTCGATGTCTTGTTCCCAACCTCCCGGCCCCCGACCCGCTAGGGGTCTTCTAGCTTCCCACTGGTGTTATGTATGCAGTCAAGGGCTAGGTCACACCGAGCAACGGAAGCAATCCTTACATTTCCCCATGAACTGTTTTTAGAGATGGCGACGTGGTCTCCTTTCATGAAGATTAAGAACCTTGCTGATTCTTAATCTGCCCATCCGGTGAGACTGCTCCTCATACTTCCCCAGCTCTGACTGAGGGATCCTTGAGATACTTGTCACAGCCCTAGGGAGAGAGTCAAGCTGGTAGCCAATGAGAAAAGACCATTCCAAGTACAGATGTAAAATCATCATCATGAAAAAATTAAATGAACTCTCAAGAGATTTATTTTAGTCTTTCCTATGCAGCCTTGGTTTTGTTTTTTAACTTACTGAGCAATGTATCATACAAACTGAACTGAGGCTACATACAATGAATGTTGAACTTTAGTATTAAAATGTCAAGGATTGAAGCATCACTGGAATAGTCCAGAAAAGACCAGGAATACATTTAAATCTGAGGATACAAAGTCATTAAGGACAAGAGTAGCTAAAGCTGGTAGATGATGTTTTCATTGTTTCAAATATCCTCAAAATGTCAACCTTACGGGAGATTTAAATAAATCTCCTTTAGTAATTTCCAATTCATTTAACTTAGATGAATTCAAAAATGTAAATACATTTCCACTTTGTCAATGTCAAGTTTCAGTGTCTTCTATCATCATGGCAACATCTTGGATCTTCCATTAATTTTTTTTTATTATTTATGCACTTTTCCCATCATAGATACTAACAACTCTCACTCTAGTTGACTAATTATGCAGGTAACTTAATATGCATCTCGCCGACAAATTTTGTGGTCACCCTTGACTTTACACCCTTCCTTCGACCCCACTCATTTCCTGACCTTTCTTTTGAATGTTAAGGTGCTCTCTGGATACAGGACAGCAAGGTAGTTGAGCATTCGCTGACGTAGCACGGATCTTTGTCTAGTGACATAAAAAAAAAAACCTTTATTGTTATGGGAATTTTACCAAAATATCTTGGTGTCTTGGTGATCATGGGCTCAAAATACCTTGGGAGGATTTTTAAGTTTCCAGAAAAAAAAAGTCTTGAACAGAATTTCTTGTGCTTTTAAGATTATCGTCATTAAGAGCCCCCAAAATAAACAAGGAAGGTTCTAATCTCCCAGAATTTTAAATCCTAGCCCCAGCACCAATGGTAACACGCTCTGCCCTGGATTTCTGAAGCGTTTTCCTATTTTACTGAATTTCCAAAACCCCCAGCCCTTCTCACTGACAGTCTTAACAGAGTACCCAAGAGGGCACGATAAGTGCGTGTAATCTGATCCGGTGGGTGTGCGTGACAATAAAAGTAGAGGTGCCTCAATTCTCAAAGACTGTCACCTCAAGCCATTACTTCGAAGTCTGGTTTGTGGAGTTTATCAGTCAATCAACAAGCATGTATTAAGTACTTTCTACATATGTACCAGGCACTGTACTAAGTGTTAAGGAGAAGAGAAAGGCCAAAACAAGGTCCCTGCTTCCTGGGTGGCGGCTTATTATTGGGGAGGAGACTGGGGAGGGAGCTTGGGGTTTATTCTTTCGGTTTAGGTTACTTTTTTTCTTTGCTTCCACGTTAGCTTTTCTTTTTACTTCAGAGTTTATTTCGTGGTTTTTGTTGTTGTTGCTGTTATTTTTTTTTTAATTTCCATCTACTTGGTTGTGGCTGATTTAAGTATTTCCAATGCCAGTGTCTTTGGGACAGATTAGAATATGAACATTGTTCTAAATAAGTCATCATGGAGGCATGATGAATGAGTCACACTGAAATCTTCAACGAGGTTAATCTCAATTTTCTGGTTCATTACATGTGCATTAAATTCAGTACCCATTTTATCTCTTAATATATGCCGATTCAGAAAATGGAAAATCATCCACTATTGACCTATGCCATCAACTTCCATAGGAATTCATGTATAGTTCCCTAACTGTGTGTATAGCATAGCATGATTGCTGCATTTTGTAATGAACTTATGACCCGTTAGAATCCTACTGTAATGTCGCTGTTTGATAAAATAGAGAAAGCTAATTTGCTTACAGTTATTAAATGCATTACCAAAAAAAAAAAAAGCACTAAAATTAGGATAGAGAAATGATAAGAAACTGAAAGTGTTGCTATAGCGCTCCTCTTTCTCCCAGAAAATGGAGACTCCTTCTCCCACAGGATCACCCTTGTCATGCCCCCTGGGAAAGGGGCCAGCGTGGGATTACCCTTCAGCCTGCCAGACTGTCTGGCGATTGCTGCACACCATGGGCCAGGTGTGATCAGCAGATCCAAGACATGCCAGTGCCCCAGATTGACCCACAGCTGGCATGGGGGTGCATAAGTGGCCTCCAGCAGGACAGGAGCATGTGCACTCCATTGCCAGTTGCAGCAAATTCCACCACTCTTCCCTCTCTAAGTGGCAGACAGGTAGGCCTAGGTGTTCGGGGCAGGAGATCCCCCCCCCATAAAGGCTGCCTGGGAGCCAGTGGTCTATGGGGTATGTTCTGCATGGTTTTTGTAAGGAATGATGATTGCCTACCTATTTTCTAATTGCCATTATTTGATCCAGATTGAATTTCATTATGGATACTTGGCAATATCAGCTTCTGTGTGGTGGGGTTGGGGGAAAGGGAAAATGTTAAAGGGGAGGGAAAAACCATTTGGGGTACCTCCAGGGGGGATCACTGGGGTGGCTTTTTACTCGGGTGGACCAATTTTGGATGTTTGTAGCTTCTGTTGTTAATGATGGACTTCCCCATCCCAAGCATGAGAATATTGGTAGAATATTAGCTACTGGACAGATGTATTGACAGAGTTAGACAACCAGTCAATTTAAATTTCATGGCAATGCACATTTGGGGGCAGCTGAAGTATCTAAATCTTTCATTTTTAAAATGACATTGCATTTGGATGAAAATTCATAGGAAATGGACATTGGCAATAAGATGGGATTTTGTTAAAAGACATTGATTTACTTAGGAGTTGCAACAAATAGTAGCATTTTAATGAAATGATAAACCTGCCATCTTGATCTCAGACTTTTTTTAAATTGCATTTATCATTACTTAAAGAAGTACTAATTAATTGTATTCCTGACACATACTGAACTGGATTTTGAGGAAATGTGGCTTAGTGGAGAGGGCTTTGAGGCAAGAGGAATCAATTTCAAATCTCCCTAAAACTTTTACCAGCTGTGTGACCCTGGACAAGCCGTTGAATCTTACACAGTTCCTTGATCTGTAAAATGAGGGTGACCGAGAAGTCCCTCTGGCCCAAATCTGTGGCCCTGTGATTCTGCATGCGGGACAAAAATATTTCTGCCAAGTCAGGCAGAGTGAGAATCTCTTCCTCTAAAGCGTTCAGAGATTGTGTTTAATTTAAAAAAAATTTCATTTCAGAATAAGATATTTCAAAATGGAAGTATCAGCACAGTAACTATTTTTCTCCTGGAATTTGACTTTCTATTATTGTCTTAAGTGTTCAATAAAATTAGAATCAAGTAATTTTTTTTAAGAAAACAATAATATGGGCAGCTAGGTGGCACAGTGGATAGAGCACCAGCCCTGGAGTCGGGAGGACCTGAGTTCAAATCCGGCCTCAGATACTTGACACTAGCTGTGTGACCCTGGGCAAGTCACTTAACCCCAATTGCCTCACCAAAAAAAAAAAAAAAAAATGATGACTTTATTTTAAACATGGAAATTTGTCCATTGCTAAATTCTGGTCTTGTGAATATCTATAAAGTGTTCTAGCATTAAGAAATTTCATCTTCAAAATTGTTTTGATATTTACAAACCATAGATATACAATTTCAATTTATAATTCCTAAACAAAATAATTTTTCCAGTTGATTTAAAAATGAAAGAAAAAGAGCATAAAACATTTGCTTATTTTACATAAACTGACTGAATATTTCAATAGGTTTTTCTGTTCAATAAAATGTATTTTACATGAACAAATACTATAGGGTAAGTGATATAATACAACATTTCAATAATCAAGTAATTGTAAGTAGATCATGTTACCTAACTTAAAACAAATTCATTTTTTCTGTATTATATGCTAGAATAAAAGACACTTTGTCCTAAACATTTTAAAATAAAAAAGAAATATATACTTTAGATTATTATGATATTAACATAATGGTTTCTGATCATATATTTACCATCACTAGGGCATTTGTCATACATATTGAAAATCAGTAAAAGAATCAATATCAAACATGTATTTACTGAATTTTTTAAAGTTGATATTATACCACCTTGTGGCACACACTTCAGACACTCAGAAAAAAAATAAATCTCAGTTTATTTTAAACTAAAAAAGAGTAGATTCTGAACTTTCAGTCTGTCTCTATAATACTACGTTTGTCTGTGTCTGTGTCTGTGTCTGTGTCTGTGTGATGCCTACACTGGTGTGGTGGTTAGAGCATTAAAATGCCTTTGATTGGTCTGTCCCTGCCAGTGAAGTAAATTTCTTTTCAAATAGATCTGAATAAAATTAGAAAAAAAACGAAGGTAGTATGGCAAAGTATATTAATTTTTCATTTAAAACCAATGTTAATATCAATTTACTTTATCTTATAACTTTAACTTTTCAATGACTGGCATATCTATTATTTCATTATATCTTTAAAACAACCCTGTGAGATAGATTAAGCAAGTATTATGCTTTCTATCTTATGTATAAAGAAACTGAGTCACAAAGATTATTTGACTTATCTACAGTGACCTTTCTTGTTAAGAGGAAAGCTGAACCCAATAATTAGGTCTCCTGACTCCTAGGCCAGCAGTGCTTTCAAGTTAAGACCATCGTACCTCCTCTAGTAAGCTTAAAACAAGGAAATTATTTTCCAGATTAAATATCTGTCCCCAAATTTGTTTTATATAAATATATCATCACTTGAATACTGGATATGTTGCCAAAATATATTCACTTGGCAAAATGTTCAGAAAATTTCATAAATGTAGTTAGGAACACACTGTCATTTAATCCTATAAATAGCAAACAGGCTTGACAAGGAATAACAGATTTTATTCCAACTAGATCTTGAATGGGCAAAACAACTTTTCTTGACTTCTTCAATGTACCATCGAAATTGACTATGTTAAAATTACTTCGAAGATAAAGAAATGGTGACATGTATAACTTTAATTTTGATCATATTTGAATATAATATACTTTCTATATCAATGTTATATGTTAATAAAAATAATATATTGACAGAAATCATAATTCCTGGATTAAAATATTCGCATTTTTAGAAATGCTTACTTTCTGAAATCAAACAATACTAAAATTTTAAAAAAATTAAAACTTCTCAAATATGGTATATTACCATTCCCAATTTATATAGTAGTGTATGTGTCACAGGATTTTACTAACAAAAATACTATTTTTTTTTCATTTAAGATTAACTGTATGGAATTAATCTTTTGAAAGAATACCTTTATTATGGTATCTAAAACTGTTCATAAAGCGTATTTTCTCTGAAGCCTAGACTTCAATAGCCTTTGTGATTTGTTATATTTCTACATTAATTCTCATGTTATGAATTCTATTCTAGTCTATTTATTTGATAGAAAAAAATTTAAGCTATCTGTGTGTCTCTCTACCAAAATATTTTACGTAACTTTAAACAACTTTCTAAATAATTGATCACTTCCTTATTACCCCTATTAGAAATAGAATCTGGACAAAGCAATAAAAAAGAGGTTTGATTTGGTTTTTTTGTTTGTTTGGTTTGGTTTTATTGTTCTTTTAGGGAATCTGGAAATGTTCAGTTCTTTTTGGATGGCAAAATTGTTTCTATCATCTACATTAGCCTCATCACTTTCAAGTAGAATTTCCTGTTTCCTAAGAACTTTATCGAGTTATATACACACTCACTCACTCAAACACACACACACACACACACACACACATGCACGCATACACACACACAATTTCTGCATCTGGATGAAAATCCAAAGCTGTCGTGTTCAGCTGTTACTCTTTTGTGAGATAGCATGTTTTTTTTAAATGTGATAAGACAAATTTACAAACTGAATTTGCATTTTCATTATTTTTAAGTCAGTTCTGATAAATGTCTGTTCCAGTCCAACTACATTGTGATAGGTAATCTAAAGGCAGGCTATATATTATATGGAATTTCTCATTTTTCTATCAATTAGCTGTTCAGAAAAGTCACATACACGTAGTTCATTAAGTTTAAATCAGCAGAGTGAAGCAGAGGTTGAGGTGACTCTAAGGCCAATCTTTGGCAAAACAAAAGCTAGAAGCCCTCTTGTCAGAGGGCCATTGGATGGCATTGAGCTAAACACCAGTATAACGGAAGCCAACGCGCTCTGGCTACACGATTGCTTCCTTTCTCCATTTCTCTCGACTAATTTGGCTCTGATCTAACAAATACATTAAAATGTTGTACTTTACTTGGGTGAAACTAAATGTAAGTGACCCTTACAATGCTTCTCTCTCCTCCTACTTTGGAAATGATGTACATTTCAAAGTAATGTGGTCATTGACATCTCTCTGATGCATATTAGGACACCAGATGTTATCTACTTTTCATTTTTTTCTTTTACATATAACAATACTGCATGAAATTCATTGAAGGAGGGATGTCTCCCCTCTTTTCCTGCATGTGTACCATTAACATCAGTATTATTACCTATAAGTAATTAATGAATGGAAGGAATAAGCCCCCAAAGTATAAAATATTAAGTGACTAAAGATGAAATGATTCAATAGTTTAGATACTCTGTCAATATTTCAAGTATTTAAATTGCTGTCATTCTCAGACATCTGTTAGGTAGATCTGAGAAGAGAATAGGATCTAAAAACCACATGGACAAAGGAACTGGGGAGTATGATAAGCACTCTTCCACAGAGAGCACATTTTTGCAAATGCCTATAGTGTTTGTGATTATGTGTGTACTTCCACTAGTTGTTATGTATACAATGGACATTTTGTGAAATTGCATACCAAAGATATTTTGTATTAAATGTCTTATTATAAATTTGCAGGTTGAGATAAACCTAAAACGCTATCCTACCCCTTACCCAGAAGATTTGAAAAATATGGTAAAATCCGTTCAAAATCTGGTGGGAAAGACAAGCCACGGAGTGCGTGTCGAGAATTCAACTCCAACAGCCAACACAGACCAACCTGTGAAAGAGAAGTATGAACACAAGTGGCCAGTTGCCCCAAAGGAAATTACAGTTGAGGTATTTCCAAGTTATTGGCAATTTCCAGTATGATATGGGTAATTAGAATTGCTAAGCAATGTGACATTAATTTGTGTTTAAAAGCTACTCCTGGGTAAGTAAATTACTTCAAGGACATTAGTTGAATTTTTAAAAACTCATCCAAACATGAGCCTTATATTTAATAAAAGAGGCACTTTTGCATAAAATGCTACTCTTTCGGTCCAATAGTTGACAGAGAATCTAAGTTTTCCAAATTTTTCTCAAAAGATGGTTTACTTACCCAGAAAGATCTAGCCAACACCAATTATCTTTTGGTAAAGATACATTTTTGGTTGAACCAAAATATTCATTATATTAATCATTAAAAGAAAAAAACTCAATCATAACAGGCTAAATTAACGATTCTCTATTGTTGCTGTTATACATGTTTCAGACCTCATCGTTATTTGGATTAGAGCAGATGGCATCTGACTTTCTTATTTGGGTCAAGTCTTTCATGTAAAACCTCATTAACAACAACAAAATACCTAAAGGGAAGTAACTGCTCCCTCTCTCCTTCTGAAAGCAGGAGTTGAGCAAAAATCTTCCTGATTCCATGCCCAACACTCTACCCACTGTGCTACCTACCTGTCCCATGTTATATGTCTGTCATAAGCCCCAAACCCATCAGAAAGACAGATTATATATATCTTAGAGAAGCAGTGTGGTGTGGCCACTGGAGTGCACCACCTGGAGTTAGGAAGACCCAGGCTAACATCCTGGCTTGGATACTTTCTGTTTGAGTGACCATGGGCTAGCCATTTAATTGACTGTGAACCTCAGTTTTCTTAATTATAAAATAGGAGAGGTGGCCCTGTGCAGTAGAGAGCTTATTTTGGAGTCAGGAAGACATGGGTTCAAAGCCTGTGTGTGACCAGGTACATATCATTTAGACTCTCAGTGCCCCAGGCGTTTCTATAATTCCATAAATTACCGAGAAGTTGTTAATCTGCACTGATCTGGTGAGCTTCTGTAAAACAATGATACCTCTGGGACCCAACATCCCAGGGTTGGCATGAGGCTCCAATGCCAAATAGGTGTAAAACGCTTTACAGGTTTTATAGCACCCTATAAATGCCTATAACTGTTGTTTCATATGTATTTTACTATGGTTATCCTTTATGTTTATACAGAGAACATCAGTGAGCATGCCTTCTCAGTCTCTATAGCCTCTCAGTATCCCACCTGCTACTTTGCACACAGTAGGCACTCATAACGACTGCTGGACCAATGAATGTGAGCTTGCCTTCCAAATGTAGACAACCGCTAGTGCTCGCTCAAGCTGAGGGTGCATGGGAGGCCTATGTCCCCTCTCCACCAGGGTCCTTTGAGCTGTGTCGCCCTCTCTGATTCCAAAGCAGCCATTGGGTCACTTTCTATTCATAGGTTTTCTCTTATTTTCCCATCCCTCAGGATTCCTTTGTTCATCCAGCCAGTGAAATGAGGATTGGGGAACTTCACCCTTCACTGGCCGAGGCTCCGCTATACCCTCCCAAACTTGTTCTTCTAGCAAAAGACAAAAAGGGTAATACTTAAAAACTGGCATTTAAACAATTCTCAGGATATTTGTACAGGGTTGCCTGTACAAATACCATGTTTCTCATGGTATTTCATGTACATCTCTTTTACAGTTGTGTTTTCTGAGAGTAGAATGCAGTGTTTGTTTTCAGATCATGATGTTCTGAGAAATGTTGACTTGTAAACAGCCACAGCTCTGATAACTTTTCCCCCTTAAATTCCAGAATCAACAGATGAGTCTGAAGTCGATAAAACTCAGTGTCTGAATAATAGTGTTTCCTCGGGTACTTACTCAGACTACTCACCTTCTCAGGCTTCTTCAGGATCATCGAATGCCCGGGGTAAAGCAGCGTCTTTGCAAACAACAGCTAAAGATGCAGGAAATCATTCTCTATGGGGCAACAGGTGGGTTCACATTTCCCTCTTTGGGGTTCCCAAATGACTATTTATTTTGTCATTTAAAAATAAAAATGAAGACTACCCTCTTGCCTCAGGGATTAGTTTAAGCAAATGAGTGGACACAGCCGACAGAGCATCCCGGATTGAGTAGGCCAAATGACTGAGGACCCAACAGGTGAAGGCATCTGAGGATGGTGGAAATAGGGGGCAGAAGGACTTTGTTTGCCTTCCACGTTCCTGAACCATGTTGAAAACTGTCACATTGGAGCACTAACTGACGCTCAAGTTAACCTGATAGAGTCAATGTGGCACACAAAAGCATTTAGCTTATCCCCAGTGATTCTGCCCCACCTTCTCCCATTCACAGATAAGGGAATAAAGACACAAGGTGCAGCAGCCATTCCGGGCAGAAGGGGCAGGCTAAGTCCTCCACTCTACTATGCCTTTGGAGCATGGCCCCTTTCCTTATTAGCTTTGTTTCTGTGAGCAATTATTGACAACTTATTGTCAGGGAGTTAATGCATCCCATATTCTTTAATTTTTTGCACAGATATTACAATATTCCCACTGTTGACATTGTCTTCATCAACAGTTAAGGAACTACTGTAAATGTTTAAAAGTGAAACAATGTGATATAGTGGTAAAATTCTGGGTCTGGAGACACATGACCTGAGTTCAATGTCCAGCTCTGCTACTTGATAACTGTGTGCTATTAGGCAAATCATTTAAACTCTCTGTGCCTCAGTTTCTTTACCTATAAAATTGTGTGTGTGAACCAAATTGACTCTAAGGTTTCTTCTGACTCTCTAACTATACATACATATATGTATGTATACATATATATATATGAGAGAGAGAGAGAGAGATGTGTGTGTGTGTGTGTGTGTGTGATTGTATACGTGTGTGTATTTTTGTGGTTCAGTCACTTCTGACTCTTCATGACCCCATGGGCTATAGCATTCTATCCTCCAATATCTCCTGAAACCTATCAAAGCTTATGTTTAGTGCTTCCATGACAATATCTATCCATCTTGTCTCTGCTGTCACCTTCTCCTTTTGCCTTCAATCTTTCCCAGCATCAAAGTCTTTTTCCATGAGACCTGCCTTCTCATTACGCGGCCAAAGTACTTAAACTTCAGCTTTGGTATTTGACCTTCCAATGAATAATCTGAATTAATTTTTTAAATACTAACTGATCTGATCTCCTTAATATCCAAGGGACTCTCAAAAGTCTTCTCCAGCACAATTTGAAAACATTGATTTTGTAGCACTCAGGTTTCCTCATATTCCAGCTCTCACAGCCATACATTGCTACTGGAAAAACCATAGCTTTGACTATACAGACCTTTGTTGGCAAGGTGTTGTCTCTGCTTTTTTAGTATGCTGCCCAGATTTGCCATAGCTTTCCTTCCAAAGAACAAGTGCTTTTAATTTCATGGCTGCAGTCACTGTCTGCAGTGATCTTTGAGCCCAAGAATATAAAATCTGACACTCCTTCCATTTCTTCTCCCTCTATTTGCCAAGAAATGATGGGACCAATTACCAAGATCTTGGGGGGGGGGGTTTATGTTAAGCTTCAAGCCAGTTTTTACACTCTCCTCTTTCACCTTCATCGAGCAGCTTCTTAATTTCTCTTCATTTTGTGCCATCGGAGCAGTATCATCTGCATACCTGACATTGTTGATATTTCTCCCAGAAACCTTACTTCTGGCTTTTGATTCATCCAGCCTGGCATTTCACATGATATACTGTGCATGTAAATTAAACAAATAATGTGACAATATACAGCTTTGTTGTACTCCTTTCCCAATTTTAAACCGATCAGTTGTTCCATGTTCAGTTTTAACCAGTGCTTGTTGACCTGAGCAGAGGTTCCTCTGGAGACACACAAGATGATCTGGGACTCTCATCTCTTTGAGAACTTGCCACATTTTGTTGTGATCCACATAGTCAAAGACTTTAGTATAGTCAATGAAGCAGAAGTAGATTTTTTTTCTGGAACTCCTTTGCTTTCTCCATAATCTAGTTGATGTTGGCAATTTGATCTCTAGTTCCTTTGCCTTTTTGAAAACCAGCCTGCTCTTCTGGTAATTCTCAGTTCACATATTGCTGAAGCCAGGCTTGGAGAATCTTAAGCATAACCTTGGCCATGTGTGAAATGGGCACAATTATTCAGTAATTTGAATTCAGCAATTCTTTGGCATTGCCCTTCTTCAGGATTGGTATGGAAACTTCTTTTCCAATCCAGTGGCCACTAATGAGTTTTCCAAATTTGCTGGCATACTGAATGCAGTACTTTAACAGCATCATCTTTTGAGGTTTTAAATAGCTCAGCTGGAATTCAATCACCTCCACCAGCCTTATGTTAGCAGTGCTTGCTAAGGCCCACTTGACTTCATTCTCCAGGATGTCTGGCTCTAGATCGGTAACCACATTACCAAGGTTATTGGTGATGTCAAGATCTCTCTTGTACAGTTCTTCTGCATATTCTTGCAACCTGTTCTTAATCTCTTCTTCTTTTGTTAAGTCCCTACCATTTTTGTCTTTCATCATGCCTATTTTTGTTTGAAACTTTCCCTTGATAACTCTAATTTTCTCAAAGACCTCTCTTGTCTTTCACATTCTATTGTTTTCTTCTGTTTCTTTGCATTGATTCAGATGGATATATCTTTCTCTTTCTCCTTTAGCTTCGCTCTCCTCCTTTCCTCAGCCATTTGGAAAACCTCACCAGACAACCACTTTGCTCTCTCGCTCTTCCTTTTCTGTGGAATGTTTTTGTTGTTGCTCCTGTACAATATTGTGAACCTCTGTCCATGGTTCTCCAGGCACTCTCTCGACCAGATCTAATTCCTTAAATGTTTTCATTACTTCCACTTCATACTCATTGTTGTTCAGTCACTTCAGTAATGTCTGACCCTTTGTGACTCCAGTTAAGGTTTTCTTGGCAAAGATACTGGGGTGGTTTGCCATTTTCTTCTCCAGTGGATCCATTTTGTCAGGTAACCAGAGGTTAAATGACTTACCCAATGTCACACAGCTAGAAAGTGTCTAAGGGTAGATTTGAACTCAGGTCTTCTTGACTCCAGGCCTAGTGTTCTATCCACTGAGTCACCAGTTGTCTCATATTCATAAGAGATGTTATTTAGGTCATACCTATACAGGCTAATGGTTTTCCCCATTTTCTTTAATTTAAGTCTAAATTTTGCAATAAGAAGCTCATGATCTGAGTCACAGTTAGCTCCAGGTCTTATTTTAACTGACTGTGTAGAGCTTCTGCACCTTTGGGCTGCAAAGTATATAATCAATCTGATTTCAGTACTGACCATCTGGTGATGTCCATGTGTAGAGTTGTCTTTTGAGTTATTAAAAAAAAAAAAAGAATGTTTGCTATGGACATTGAGTTATCTTGACAAAATGCTATTAATCTTTGTCCTATTTAACTTTATACCCCAAGGTCAAACTTGCCTGTTATTCCAATTATTTTTTGATTTCCTACTTCAGCATGCCAGTCCTATATGATGACTATGATATCTTTTTTTGGTGTTATTGCTAGGAGATGTTGTAGATCTTTATAGAACTGATCGATTTTGACCTCTCCAGCATCAGTGGTTGGAGCATAGACTTGAATTATTGTGATGTTGAATGGTTTGCCTTCATGTGATATCAAACAGATATCTTTCTGTCATTTTTGAGATTATACCCCAATATTGCTTTTCTCACCTTTTTTTGGCTGTAAGGGCTACTCCATTTCTTCTAAGGGATTTCTGCCCGTGGTAGTATATTTAATGATCACCTGAATTAAATTCACCCATTCCCATTCATTTAAGTTCACTGACATCCAAGATGTTGGTGTTTAATCCTTCCATCTCCTATTTGACCGTGTCCAGCTTATTGTGATTTATCAATGTTACGTTCCAAGTTCCTATGCAATATTGATCTTTACAGTATTTGACTTTCCTTTCATCACCAGATGTATCTGCAGCTGAGTTTCCTTTCAGCTTTGGCCCAGCCACTGTATTGGTACTGGAACTACTTGTAGTTGTCCTATGCTCTTCCCCAGTAGCGTATCGGACACCTTCCAACCTGAGGGACTCATTTTCCAATGTCATTTTTTTTTATCATTTTATTACTATCCATGGGGTTTTCTTGGCGAAGATACTGGAGTGGTTTGCCATTTCCTCCTCCAATGGATCACCTTTTGTCAGAACTCTCCAAAATGACCTGTTCATCTTGGATAACCTTGCACAGCATAGCTCAAATTTTGTTGAGTTGTGTAAGCCCTTCTGCCATGACAGGGCAGTGATTTAAAAGGGGATGTTTATATATATATATATACATGTATATACATGTATATAAATACATATTCATATGTGTTTATACTTAGCTCAAGAAAAATATTTTGAAATATATACATTCTTATATAATATACATATTCTATACATATATGTACACACACATATATACATATATATTGCTGAGGGCAAATTAGGTCCTTTCAGATAATATTTGGGGTAATTTTGGATCACTGGGATGCCAGTTAGAAATAGTTGACCTATTTTATTTGAAAGATTTTATTAACCTAAAAGGAACATTGTAAATTATCTTCCAGTATATAATTTCTGTCCTTGGAAAATATGACCAAATATGTGCATATTATGTCCCAACAAAGTGTTTAACATATATATTTGCTCAATATTCTGAGTACTTGAGTTCTGAATAGACATTATTCGGAGATTATATGAGTTCATTAGATGAGCCAAGATCCTTTAAAAGAAGTTCTTTCAACTTTCATAGTTGGTCATTTCTATCTCTACACCTATCCTGAGTGAATGGCCAACCAACTCTATACATACAGTATGATGGTATTTTCTACTGCTTGTTCATTCATTGACAAAGACCAAGCTGATTATCATTGTAACATTGCTTCTTTTTATCTGCTTTGCAGGATTACCCAGTCTTTTCCACAGCCTATTGACTCAAAGCCATTACTCAGCCAGCGTGAGCCTGTGCCACCAGGGAACTTACCCCCACGTCCTGAAAGGCGTCCGATGAGTGAAACGTTTGCCGATCACTGGAACGATGGCTCCCATTATGATAACACAGGGTTCGTTGCAGAGGAGAACACAGCAGAGAATGCCAACAATAATCCTCTGTTAAGTTCTAAATCTAGAAGTACATCTGCTCATGGGCGTCGGCCTTTGATTAGACAAGACAGGATAGTTGGCATTCCCCTGGAACTTGAACAGTCTACACATAGACACACACCTGAATCAGAAGTGCCTCCTTCCAATCCTTGGCAGAATTGGACCCGAACCCCTAGCCCTTTTGAAGACAGGACAGCTTTTCCTTCTAAATTGGAGACCACCCCCACCACCAGCCCTTTGCCAGAAAGGAAAGACCATATAAAAGAACCAGCAGAAATAGCTAGTCCTTTCTCTTCAGGAGTACCTTGGGAGTATCACGATTCCAACGCGAACAGGAATCTCAGTAATGTCTTTTCTCATATTCACTGCCGCCCAGAGTCTTCCAAAGGTGTGATTCCAATTAGCAAAAGCACAGAGAGGCTTTCACCATTGATGAAAGATATAAAGTCCAATAAATTTAAAAAGTCACAAAGTATTGATGAGATAGACATTGGTACATATAAGGTTTATAACATACCATTAGAAAACTATGCAGCTGGTAATGATCACTTAGGGAGCCATGAAAGGCCAGATAAAATAATGGTGCCAGAGCATGGCATGTCCAGTATGTCTCGTAGTCAGTCTGTACCAATGCTAGATGATGAGATGTTGACTTACGGCAGTAGTAAGGGGCAGCCGCCACAGAAGCCCTCTATGACAAAGAAAGTCTATCAGTTTGACCAAAGCTTCAATCCGCAAGGAGCAGTAGAGGTGAAAGCAGAAAAGAGGATGCCACCCCCTTTCCAACAGAACCCTGAGTATATTTCACAACCTGGTAAAACTATTGCGAAGGATCTGGTCAGTCCTAGAGCTTACAGAGGCTATCCCCCCGTAGAGCACATGTTCTCATTCTCTCAGCCTTCTGTTAATGAGGAGGCGATCGTCAATGCCCAGTTCACAAGCCAGGGTTCCAGGGCAGGATTCCTAAGAAGAGCCGATTCTCTGGCAAGCTCCGCGGAAATGGCCATGTTTAGAAGGGTCAGTGAGCCTCATGAAGTGCCCCCGAGTGATAGGTATGGCAGGCCTCCATATAGAGGAGCTCTGGATCGCCAAAGCAGCGCCTCAGTGTCTGAATCCCAGTTCCTCAAAAGGAATGGCAGGTATGAAGATGAACATCCTTCATATCAAGAAGTGAAAGCCCAGGCGGGAAGTTTTCCAGTTAAAAACCTTACCCAAAGGCGGCCATTGTCTGCAAGAAGCTACAGTACAGAGAGTTATGGTGCCTCCCAAACCAGACCAGTTTCAGCTAGGCCTACTATGGCAGCTCTTTTGGAAAAGATACCATCTGACTATAACTTGGGTAACTATGGTGACAAGCCGTCAGATAACAGTGATTTAAAGCCAAGGCCCACTCCTGGGAAGGGAGAGGAGAGCTGTGGGAAAATGCCTGCAGACTGGAGACAACAGCTGCTTAGACATATAGAAGCTAGAAGGTTAGACAGGGTATGTTTGGCATTTCTCTGTAAGAATATCCTCGGTGCCTCTAGTTTTACATTTTCATATTTTTGAGTACTTGTAGTAAAGCATGAACTACATGACTGAATAGTGATGATCAAAATCTGCTCTGTGTTTGCGTTAATGGGGAGATGACCACAAAAGGTTACCAATGACATTTTTTTTAAATAACCTATTAGCATCAACCCTCTGGGGACAGTGATTTTCCAAATTTGGCCTTGGTCCTCTTGGGGGGAGGGGGGGATCAATGATTCTTTCATTCCATTTTGAAGAGTTGTCTCTTTTAGGCCACCAGTGTGCAATTCCTCTTCCAGGGCTCAAAAAGGTGCCCTAATAGACCAAAATGCGTCATTACACCTATGAACAGTAATGACTTCATTCACCCTTTTCTCAGTAGACTAATTATATATAAAAATCAGGCCCATTTTTGGGGACCAATTTGTACTTAGTTAAAGCTATGGGACTACTTAAGTTATTGCTTGTAATGAACAATAAGCATCACAGCAGGAAGTAGGGAAAGAAGTCAAGATTCCGTAGCCTCCTGCACATTTCATTTCTTTTTTCAAAAATTGCATTGTTGGTTTTATATAGAAGGAAATATTTGGATCCAATTTTTTTAAGTCAACAAAAATAAACGATGATTCTTTGAGATTAGAAACTTAGAAATTAGCGTGCACATTACAGTAAATAAGAAAATTCATCCAGATTCAGTCAAGTATGAAGCCACAACAAAAGGTGCCTTATAGTGTGATTTAAGAGATTCAGCTTTGCTAAGGAACTGCTGAAAATCACTTCGTCTTAGAAATTAAAATCGATCTGGGAGAAATATGATGTTTTATTCTATAGAAATTAATGAAGTGAGAGAAGTATTTCATGGGGTTCTAATTGTTTATTTTCAGCGTAGGTCCCTATAGGTGTTCTCTACTGAAAGATACTTAAAGGGGTTGGTTTGTTTTGGTTTGTTTTGTTTGTTCATTTGAAAAAAAGAAAAAGATCTCTTGTTTTCCTTGGCTTAGTTTCAGTTACTCGTTGAAAATTGTTAAACCTCGAAAATGGCGGCTATTTCGCTTACTCTATTTTAGACTGTAGACTAGAAGAGTATGGCCCACAGCCTTTATGATATAGTTCCTTAATTTTGGATCTCATGTTTTCAGAGTTAATTCTTTTAAAGTCATTGTGGTATTTTGTACCATTTGTGTCATGGCTATGTGAAAACCAGAGGTTTTTGTCAGGGAGAAGAAAGAGGAGATAGGTCTTTGGGAATTCATTTTTTTCAATGTGGGAATCAGTTTGCCTTATCAAATATGTCATCAAAATGACTGTTTCAAATAGGTATGCTCATTCAAATTAAAGGGAGGTTTTCAGACTAAATCTGTTGATAGGACATGTTCTGACCCTGCCTTATCTCAAATAAATCCTTTCTTGACTCAATGTAGACAGATAACATGGAGAGAAAAAATGTTTTGAGCCACAGAATACAGCATTATTTGGATGTTATTTGGATTTGTAGACACAACTATACATGTTAACAAAGTAAGACAAATAACAGAGAAAGATCCTAAGAAATTTTTCAATATTACTTTTGAATGAATCGAGTAGCGTTCAGTTATCCGGGGGTGATAGGAAGGGGAATGAAAACAAATAACAAAAAGCCTTTGTGATCCCAAACATTGTTGCCCCTGATTTCACAGCTAGAACTTCCGATGAATAATAAGGGTGATATTATCTAGGATCAGCAGGGACCTGAGGAGTGGAAATAGGGACGTGAATGGAGAGGAAACAGACTACTCGACAATCTGCCCCATTCAGGGAAGAGCTGACTAAATAGACATTTTCTGTTGATCTAGTATAACGCTTCTTGTTAGTGAGCATGAATCTCACACTCACTCTTTGTGTTATCTTCCATAAACCTGATTTTCTTCGAAGTAACTAGCATAGAGACAGTTTTCAGCAGCGTCTCCTTTAGTTCTAAGACACTGAAATGCTTCAGGTGATGCAAAGGCATCCCAAGTCCTGGTGGCCAGGAACAATTACCTTCTCCCTCTTACTCCTCCATCTAAATAAGCCACACCATGAGCCACGGAACAACCATGCTACCCAGGCTACCCACCTTGTTCCTAAAGATGCTTAATTAATTCCAAGCAATGTAATTCAAGCTCTTCTCTGAAGTGCATTCTGAGGCATCCATGATCCTCAGAATTCCCTCTATGGCAAGGTCACAGCAGAACCATAGTGTGCGTCCCCTGAAATTCATCCAGGTCTCTAGAATGAGCCCTGATGATCACATTCCAGAGCTCTTTGTCCATTTTGCAACAAAGAGAATTTCTGAAGTTCTGGTCCTCCTAGCTGCGGAACAACATCCCAGGAGGTGGAGAATCACTGTTTTCCTTGGAAGGGGAGCTACAGAAATAAATCCCAAGCCCAACCCCAAACCTTGCTTTTCCTTCTGCTTAGCCATAGAATGAAGAGTCAACATCTTTTGACATTTACCTGTTCCTTTCAATCCCTTGTCTTCTCCCCACCCCTAACCACACAACAGTTGTTAAGGACAGAAGTTAAAACACTTTTTATAAGTGCTCCTTCTTGAAAAAGGAATTATGGCAACTAAGGAATCATTCACACTCAAATAAGCTGTTTTGCATCCCTGTGAATACCCTGTCTTGTTCATTTCAATTTTGAAGTGATGACATTAAAAATGACTGGGTAGAAGAAATTATCTGAGATAAAATATTTTCATACAAGGTACCCAGAAGTCTTAGTGCAGATTTAGACTTTAGTAGCCTTCGAGACTCCTCATATATTAGTGTATTATAACTAGATTATATTTTCATTTTGGAGTTCAATGAAACTTTGATGTTAAGGATTATTACTTCAATAGTGACATTTTTCAGAATTTCACCATCAGAATTAGCATTTCAAGTTCCAAATCATATGTATATAGTTCTGAACATTTTATTAAGAAAAAATGGATGAAACGACTAAACATGATTGACTTCTGTGACTCTAAATAAGAAAACAGTTTGAAGTGACCCCATCTGCAGATGGAGTGGTAAGGTCCCTGAGGTGCAGGGCAGCACGTGCAAGACTTGGCATGAGGATGGAATTTCAATCCAGGCTTTCCTTCCTGCTCACTCCCTTTACCACCTCACACAAGCCACTGGTCACCTGAGGGGCTTCAGACCTCAGAGGTAGAGGACCCTTCTAACGCTACATCTTTGATCTCATTTGCTCTTACTGGTGCATCCTTATTAAATCAGGCCTGGTGCTGTTTCCTGAGAGAATCCTTAAAATGTCAGCATTTTAAAAGGAATATTCCAGTGCCTGAAATACTTTAGATTTACTCCTTGAGAGACAAGCAACATTTCTGATTTCCGGAACACGTGCATATGTATTTTGCTGTGAGATGTTAATTTGTGGATAAATGACTTTTACAACTCAGTGAGTCAGAGTCCCCCTACTAAGAAGCAGAGTTCCATTCCTCTACTTCCGTGTAAGTTCATATAATTTTATGGGAAGAAAAATCAGAAAGATGTGCACCAGTGGAGAGAGAATTGCTCTAGGAATTAGCCAACATGATCTCTCTTATGCCGCATCTGACATTAACTCTTTCTGTGACCACTAATAAATTGCTTAGTCCTTATGGGTCTCAGTTTCCTCAACGATCAAGTTAGGGGAATGAGCTAAGCAATGTCCTAGTCCCAAAATGATAGAGTTGTTTGATAGTTCTACTTGACTCGGCCCTTTCCTTGGCTCAGTGTAGCCCGCTGCAAAAGAAGATTGAAAGGACAAAGAAAGGCTGTGATGAATTTGACTATTTTAATTTAATCAAAAATTCTGTCAGACAAGTGGTGATTCAGTCAGTTGAACTGACTTTTTTTTTAAATACCGATTGTTCTCATTGGTTTTTCACCTTTCTTTGTATCCCCCTTCTTGGCACTGTGCCTGCCTCATGCGTAGTGCCTACTCAGTGCTTGGGGATTCACTAACTGACTTGTTGGGTCTCTAGACACTAGGATAATTATGACTGTTCATTTTAGCCTGTCCAATTTTCTCAGTTTAAGTCATAATTACAAATTGGGGTTTTAAAAAATATTTGTACGATAGTTTCATTACTGAGAAATCTCTAGCATTATTTCTAAGTGATAAAATTGGGATTCCACTGTGGTTGGAATTTGTTAAATTAATGTGTTGTGCCACAGATAAACAACAGTGGGTCAGAATGGGCACAACCACAGTTTTCGAAAGATAATTTTATGCCATCAACAGTGATCAGCCAGTGTACAGCAAGATGAGTTGTGTTTGCTTTCTGTCTTTGCCGTAGTTTTGGATGGTTTTCATTCTGTGTATAACTAACACTGTTACTTGTAAGCTTCCGTCTAATCCAGTGCATGTTTCGAGAAACGGCTTCTTGTCGGCGGGCCGAAAACTTACACTTTAAGAACTTAGACATGTTCGTGTAATAATGTGTTCCTAAGCATGTGTCCACTCCCTGTCACGTGATTATTTCCTCTACTTAGAATGCTGCTTACAAACACGCCACAGTTAACCTTGGCATGCTGCACTCTGGAGGGTTTTCGGCCGTGCATGCAGGGAGAAGCATGACTTTAAACTTGCAGACTAAGTCTCAGTTTGAGAACCAAACACACCAACAGCTACCTCTCCAGCATGTAAGTATGGACCAACCTTGATGGGCCAGTGTCTCCAAAGCTAGTTAACGTTCTTTGTTCCCTCATGTTCTCAACTCGTAACGACGCCTTGTGTTTCTTTGGTGCTCCTCCACTGTCCAAAAAGCATCAGGGCCGATATGCCTGATGGGAGCAGGCCCTGCCGTTGGACCAGCTGGCTGTCAGTTCCCAGCTGACAACCTTGCTTTTTGGATTGAACGGCTCATGTGGCTTTGTGTGTCGCTTTGAGGTCCTTTTATTTTATTTTTGAGATAGAGTTTTAGCTTTTGTTGATGATGCACTCTGGGAGCACAGGTGGATTAAAAATGTGTTTTCAGTTAATTAGTTTAAGACAAGGATTATATAGTAACCTGGGAAATGATGTGCCCGGTGTGACATTGTCGCTTGGTAGGAAAGGCGTTGCTCAGGTAACCTAGGTTCTAATTCCAGCACTGCCCCTTCCCAGAGATGTAGCAGTTCATGTCTCAGAGCCCCAGTTTCCTCATCTGTAAAGTGAGAGGACTAGACCACATGATCCCTTCTGGCTGTCTCAGGGATTAGGACTCAGGGATAGAAGTTACAGAGAAGCAGATCTGGGCCAATGTTAGGAAAAACTTCTTGATAATTAGGGCTTCCCGAATGTAGAAGAGGTTTCCTTTGAGGGTTGGGTTCCTCCAAATTCAAGGTCTTCAGGTGGAAGCTGAAAGCTCAGTCACCAAGAACACTTTGGAGGAAATGCTGCTTCAGGCACAGGGTAGGTTCAATGGCCAGAGTCTTTCCAAAGTGAGATCTTGGGGGTCTTTGAAAATTCTGTGGTTTTGCAGCCCTTCAGAATAGGTCCATAGAGGGGATGCTCTCTGCCACAGAAGGTAAAGAACATGTGTGAATTATTGTAAGACATTCTGGGCCAAAGCCCATCAGTGTCTGTTATTTTCTGGCTTTTCATTAGGTGCTCCAGATAGGAACTTTAACTATCAAATGTCCTGCAGGGGACTCTAAAGAATTACCTCAGCATGAATTATTATATACCTTAAAGATGTTCTGTATCTGAAGTGATGCTTACCTAGGATATTTCAGGGCCTGTTCAGGTATCTGATAGCATACAGTCATGACCCCCAAGAGGTATCTTCAAAAGTAACATTAATTTAAAAGCCAGGAATCATTCAAATATTAAGAGACTGGCTCAGACTGTCATAGAGTCAACCCTTCAGTATCTGTATTAGTAGAAGTAGATATAATATGTTGAAGAAAGGAGCAGGGAGGCTAAGAATGGGGAGGTATGTATGGAGAGAGACATAGAGTTACACTTTTGATAATCCCCCCAAAATCCACTATTGGGGCTACAATCTATGACTCATTCAAACAAATTCGCCTTCCTAATCAGTTCATTTCAGGGGCATTAACTTTGCTGTGCATTTTCTGAGTGCCCACGAGCTAACTGCACTGAGCAGGGCCTAGAAAGACTCTCAGGACAGGGTCACAGCTTTCTATGGCTAAAGGGCAAACTGGAGAATTCAGTACACACGTGGTTAATCAGAAGACCTTTGCACTGTTTTGCAAAATGTCTCCATATCTGAATCAATGCTATCAATCTCTACTTCACTGAATTTGAAAATAGTATGTCTAATAGAGTTCATGAAGCTTCCTAATGTATCTTAATCACAAATGCAAAGTAGTTTAACCACTGGAAAAATATTCCTAAACAAAGCTAGTGTAAAACTCTTCAAAGAAGGTCTTAAATCTTCATTTGACATAAGTTTTCCCAAGTTTCTTCAAAAATGTCTACTTAATTATAAAACTAAATGAGTTAATTACCTTGTAAAAAGCTATTTCTGAATTAGGATCAATCTATTTGTGTAGTTGCTGCATTATTTATATAGTACACACATTTATACATTACTTTATATTATTTATGCAGTACATATATGAGAATGAAAATGAAACAGTCATTCAGATTTGGTTACACATCCTGCATGTGTCAAAATTTTTTACTGACTTTTATTAGATAACAACAGTTTCAATTTCTGCATAAGAAAACTACTGTGCAGCATAAATTATTCATAAATTTTTTTTAAATGTAATTGGATCCAAGCAAATGATATCAGTTTTCGGTAGGGATCAAATTTAGTGTGGGTTTAGTCACGTCATAATACCGTGAATTACAAAATCTTTCAGGGAAATTCATGGCTATACTCTGTATAAATTTTGCTCCATTTATTTTTTTATTACCTATCTTTCATGAAGAATTATAAAAAATGGCATTTAGCATATCCATCTGACTAAATCCTCATATTCTAAAGCCAAACAGACAGGAAGGTTGATGCCAGTGAAGGGGACACTAGAGGGCACTTTTCCCATCCTTGGTGAAATGCTGACTTTGACCAGATGGGTGCAGAAGCGAGAAACTCAAATTGGAGTTTTGTGATGAGCTAGACAGAAGCTAGACACAAGGCTCTCTCTGCATTGGCTGTGCAAAAGTTACTAAGTTAAAGAATAGTGTGAGATTTCAGAGTCGGGTGTTTACGTGAGTAGGTCAGCTATCCTTAAGAACTCTGGGCGACATCTGCTTGTATTCAGGGCACCCATTCCAAATTATAGTCCAGTCTTCATTGAAAGAGGTCCCATGAACCCTGTACTCCAAAATAGTGCATTCTTATCAAATTGTCCATAATTCAGAATCTTCCCTCAAATTAAATTAGCCTTCTCTAAATTATTTTGAAATGAGAGGGTTTTCCCCCCATACCTAGAATCCAAGGGATTGGTTTTGATACATTTGACCATGTCTTCTTTCATATTTGGTTGATTTTATTCAGTTGAGAAAATAAACCTCATTTCATTTCAGACACGCAGACAAATGTTGGGTCCAGAGTGTTACAATATAATTTCTCACACCATCTCTGCCTGGCTTTAGGCCTTTCCCCCAAGCAACAATGCACAAAAGCAACTCAGACTTCTCAAACTCATTGGGTCTATTTGGCTGTTGTATATTTAGAAATGTTCCTCTGGCTTACCAGGTGGGCCACTTTCATTTCAATCTAATTCAACAAGTCTGGGTCAAAGGTTTGCCTTTCAAAAGCAGCCCGTCCAATTTTGGCAAATAAGCCTCAAGTGGTTAGTTCTCCCTTCTTTCACACAAGAGCAACAACGTTTTCTGTTTCATTGGGGTTTGTTTGGCTTTTCTTGAAAATCTACAATGAATGTGACTAGCTTACAAAAATACCACCTTCTTGGTATTGATAAAAGAGATTTCTTTCAGAGAACTCCTTTAGTTTTGATAGTCAGCAAAAGTATTTTTAAAATTTGCCTGGGAGGACCTGAGTTCAAATCTGGCCTCAGACACTTGACACTTACTAGCTGTGACCCTGGGCAAGTCACTTAAACCCATTGCCTCATCAAAAAAAAAAAAAAGTGCCTAACTACTTTTCTCACTCAGTCTTAGAAACAGAGAAGAATGTGCATTAAATCTATTATTCTGGTTTGGGGGTGGGGGAAAGACCTGAGCTATTTATAAACCAACAAAAGGCCTGGATTATCATGGGTTTAGAGGTTCCTTCATTAATCTTTTTTCACTTTTTAGGGATTTTTACATTATGTGATAACTGTCTCACTCTCCTATAGAAACAATGTCAATGCAGCTAAACAAAGCAAGGTAGGAATATAATTAGCTCAGTGATTATAAGGAGAGATGAAACCACCCCAAGTGGGAGGATCAGAAAGGAGGGATGCTTTATTGAATTATTCAGACAATTTTGTACAATGCTACATTCTACCACCTAGCCAAAAGAATATGCATTATCCAGATTTGATCGACAGACATGAAAACGAAAAGAATATGAAAAGAGTGGAAGAGCAAAGTCTATCGTACAAAAGTTCCAAAAAAAACAACAAAAAGTTTGGAACAAAAGTTCCAAAAGTCTTCATGCTGTTCTAAAGCCCCACACCAAGACATTTGGGATGCCCTGTATTTTAACTTCTCACTTCTAATATTCTTCTGAGTAGCTACAAAGGGTATACTTAGGGGAATTGTGTACACATATATAATAGCATATATGAAAAGCTCTCGGTCCAGAGGAAGTAAAGACTAGAAATATAAAGGAAGGGAACCAAGTGCTGATGAACACTGAATAAAGGGCTACGTATTATTCTTGAGGGAAAAACGTCATTGAGAGAACTCAAGTACATGTGATTTTTTTTCAAACAAACTAAACATAAATATTGACTTAACTAAGAGTATGCTTTCTTTCACTTCCTTTCTTTTATTAAATGTCATTGTGGATTTAAAAAAAATAACTCTTAGGTGGGCTTATTAAAGGAGTATATGCTTAGGATTTCCATATATGGAACATGGGATGAGCAAAAGTGGAGAATCTAGAGACTTTTTTATTCACCATTAAGACCCTACCTACGATGCTTCATTAGTGTTCATGTGTTAATTTCATTGGTACAATAATTGTACAAAATATTTTTGAGGCAAAATGCATGTAAATAGAATGCTACTTATCCATGCCATAGAAATTACTCAGAATGGGAACCCAAAAAAAAAAGATTCACATTTCAAATATACATTAGTAAAATTAACAATTAATCAGTTACAATCCTTTTAGAAATACATCAGTCCAAGGAGTGGTAGAGTAGGTAGAAAGCTGCCCTTGGAGTCAGGAAGACCTAGGCTCAAGCTACTCAACTTCTTGGTGACCTGGGCAACTCTTTAAGAGTATAAATTGCACAGAAGTTACTGATCTGCATTGCTAGAGGGAGTTTACTAACTGGGAGTTCTATATATAGGTTAGGGGGGTGTGTGTGTGTGTGTGTGTGGGAGAGAGAGAGAGAGAGAGAAAGAATCAGTCTAATTTTCCATTTTTTAGGATTAGAGATAATTTGCTATATCTAGTAGTGCAAGAGAGAAAGAGGTAAATTCTCTTTCCAAGACACTCTTTTATGGACGTCTCTCAGATTTGAGCGCAGACTCTATAATTAGTTTTGTATATAGCTGCCAGTTCCATTCCTTCTGGACATGGCTTTTAGAAACACATACAGAACTGGCTGAGAGGAAGGAGGTGTGGCAGGGGTGAGATCATTGCTGTATTCACTGAAGGATCACTAGGTATCAACAATAACAACAAGGCATCAGACTAGAACAAAATAATTATTTAATCTTTAATTAAAGAAATATAATATGATTTATATAAATCAATTAAATAACATTGTGTTCAGTCCATTTTTATGACCTATTTTACCTGTTTTCAGTAGCATAACATTTTTATTACATTCTTGAAAATGATTTAATCTCCTATTTGAAGCAATGGACAATGTCCCAAGATGCTCCATCTTGCTCATTGTTAGTACTGACACCACCTCAATATGGTGCGAAATAGAAGCCTAGCATCCTATGGCCTTGGCACTGGCACAGTCCTACACCATTTGGCATAGGTTAGCTGCTTGGAGTTCATGGATTATGGTAAGATGTTTGATTATAACATAAAAGTTTTGATTTCTACTGTTAGTAGTAAGATAATGCTAAAAAGACAAACTAAGTTTTAAATATGTTTTCTAAAGTACTATAACTTTTGATGAGTTTGGCTGTGATTTTTTTTTTATTTTGTCTACTATGAATAATGTAGAATAAGGTTTCCAAATCTGTTCAGGAACCAATACAAATGGAGGTTGTCATAGAAATGTGTTTTCAGTGCTGCCACCTAAGGCAGTCATTTTGAGGTCCTTAGCCAGTAAATAGAATATAATCATATTTCAAATTCAGGTTAAATATGGTTCTGCAATTAAACCAAAATTAATTTTGCCATAACAATTTGGCACTCATTTCAAAAAAGTCTTTAAAATTCTGTTACATCAATTAAGACTGCCATACCGTTTTTACAATAGACCCCGTCCCAGCAAAGCAACATTCTAGACAATGGACAAGAAGATGTATCTCCCAGTGGCCAGTGGAACCCCTATCCACTTGGGAGGCGGGATGTACCTCCGGACACGATTACTAAAAAGGTAATCTATTCAAATTGATAACAGAGACCCTGGACCCTTGTGCGATTCATTGTAATGTCTGGTCTGTACTTTGTGGCTTCATAGCACTTCTGCCTTTATAATAAATAGTTGCTAAATGTTACCTAACAAAAAGAAGCACGATACAGTAGAATCCTTTTTTTTAATATCCAGAGCCACTGATGCCAAATTTTCTGTATTAACAACAAGTTTTCTTTAATAACACCTCAGAGCTTCAATATACAACTGAACTTGTAAATTTAGCTCCCTAAACCACCAAGTCCAGGTACATACCTAGAGGTTTAAAAGTATAGATGTCTGACTGTCCTGTATCAGCCACTACCTGTGTGGGGCCAGTTAGATTGTGGTGCTAACCCAATCATTTGTCTGACGTGCCCATCTCCCAAAAGAGACGGTGGCACTGATCCGAGCCTGGCACTGTGGCATCAGGACACCTCCATAGTTGTGACTGTGCACTGCAGATAGTGTTGGTAGAACTTGTGTGGGCTTTTAAGTGAGAAGGTAAATATTAGCATGCGGGCCACTCTCATGGCAGTGACATCAGATCCTTAGAAGTTATTTTATAGACTTCCCACCCTATACTAACGTGTCAGGAGACTGTGGGAAAATTCATTTCCATGAGATGGCCAGATTTGCCATAGCAAGTTTAAAGTTCATTATTTTCCACAATACCATGTGTTGACTGTATTATAAGGTTGGATTGTATTCAAGAGTTTGGTGCCTTGAGTCAGGTGCTTCTTGACAATATTAGCTCCAACCCTCTCTGGCTGTGTGTCTACAGGGAAAGACTCCCTGTTCTTTAGTTTCCTCATCTGTAAGACAGGGATGAACATACTGTCATCACCTATTTATGAGGGTCATAGTGAGGACAAATCTTTGTGAGCTTTAAAGTGGACAGCAATGGGAGGTAGGAGCAATAGTCATCATCATTGCCATGGTTGCTGTATTTTAGTTGAAAATAGGCTCAATCGAGCTCTGGTACACTTATAAGGATAATAAAAAGTAAGGGTCCTTGGGCATTTCACTGTACTCCCCACTTGAAATTTGCAAAATATCCCATGGATCCAACTTCCTCCTATCACCCCATTCTTTCAAAAAAATAATGGTAAGACTGGTCCTGCTTTGGGGGAGGTATATCCAGTTTTTATTAAATATGATAATGAAGAATATTTGTCATAAATAGAAGTATAAATATTATCATATTGTAGGCATTATTATAAGAGATTGACCTGGTAGACACTGGTGGATCCAATGTTTTTTTTTTCCATTGGACAACCCTGCCTCATTTTAATATTTTTAAAGAATTCATTAATATTTTTAAAGAATTTTTAATATTTTTAAAGAATTCATTTCTTAAATGAATTTGAGGTCTATTTGTATTCATTTTTTCCATCTGTAAAATTTCCATTTTTCCCCAAAGCAGTAGAGGGAGACTTCACAAAGTGTTTGATCTATTCAGAATGAAAACATCATAGAAAGACAATGTCTACTCCATTTCTTAATTGTTTATTTCCAGTTATGTTCAGATGTGTCAGGTCTAATAGTCTAAATAGACCCGCTTTCAACTCTTTTATCTTTTGTCATTTAAATTATAATTTTAAAATATGTTCATTCTTCTGCTGGCCTTTGCAGAAGGTGTAACTATAGAGGGATAAGAATTCTTTCCAAAACCACTGTCACCATCACAGTGTGTTTTATGACTAGTAAAAGTTCACCCTAAAAGTTGGCTTTCCAGCTAAATCCTAATAATATCTTGTATTTAATATACTTATATCTGAATTTAATTCATTTATGTTATTGCCTCATGAAAACTATCTGACCTAAATTTGATTTCTTTAGTTGGTTGTTCTTGGAAATGGGAAAGCTGAGGCCCAGATTGTCCCAAAGTCACCATTAAAGATGGAGCCAAGACTAGGTCCCTTTCAAGTTGATCTGAGCCATTCCCATTCTAATTGTATAAAGTTTTTTTTTTCTAAATAACTGAGAGTGGTGATACCACGAGGTTAAGAATGACCAGCAAGCTCTCTCTTACTGCTTTCCAAATCCATGATGAAGAGCAGAAGGATGCTTTAGGCCAAAGACTCCCTTCCCCAAATAGCCCATCTCTACCTCCTCTACATCTGCTTCATCCATGTGCATCCCAAATTCCTATCTTACCCTGCCCTCTCCTCCTATTGTCCCCTAAAAGGTCACATCCAGTTGTTAACACACCACTTCATATTTGATCTTTCCTTTCTCACACCAGCTATCTTCCTCTAGGTGTGGAAACCTGGATCTGCACTAGAGCACACTGCATCTCTAGCCCTCTCTAGTTTGGAAGGTATCTTCTGTCATGCCCCCTGACATATTGGGTTGGAGGAAGACAGTGAGATACAGATTAAGAGCACCTGAGTTCAAATCCTATCTCTGATGCTTGCTACTTATGTAATCTTGGAGAAGTCACATCTTTTCCTTCTCTGTAAAATGAACGGTTGAACTAGATGGTCTTGATGAGCTGCCATCCAGATGGAAATCCACGATCCTGTGATCCTTTGCTGGGTCATCCATCATGTGCCATGTCCATGCGTGGATAGACCCTAGAGCTCTGTCCTCGATCCTCTTCTTTCTCTGTATGCTTAGTAATTATTATCAGCTTTATGGGAGCCAGAGGGTGCCACAGTACCCAGAGTTCTGGGCCTGGGGTCAGGAAGACATGAATTCAAACCCATCTTCAGACACTTACTAACTGTATGACCCTGGGCAAGTCGCTTGACCTCTGTCTACCTCAGTTTCCTCATCTATAAAATGAGGATTATAACAACACCTCTCTTACAGAGTTGAGAATATAAAGTGCTTAGCACAGAGCCTGGTACATATTGAGTGCTACAAAATGCTTATTTAAACCTTTCCTTCCCCATCTCTGTGCAGATGACCCCCCGATCTAAGTCTTCATCTCTCTCCTGAGCTCCACACCTACGTGACCATCCACGTGATGGACAACTTCACCTGGATTTCCCATAAGATTCTCAAACTCACCACGTACAAAACAGAATACTTCGTCTTTACCTCTAAATCAAACCTCTTTCTAAAGTCCTGGTTTCTGCTGAGGGTACAACTATCCTTCCAGTCAACCCAGCTCACACCTTTTGAGTCATCCTAACTGTTCCCTCACCTCCACTCCCACATCTAATCATTTGCCAAGCTTTATTGACTCTACTAACATGACACCTCTTGCACCCATCCCCTTTTCCCATTGCTGCAGCTATAAGCCTACTGGATTCTAGGCCTTTTCTGCCTTTTGCTTGAACAATATTAGGCAAGAGACTCATTGGTCTTCTATCTTCAACATCTTTCTTGCCAATCCAATCCATCCTCCACATAGCTGCCAAAGCATCGTTCTGATATTTTTAACATCATGACACTACCCTGCTCAAGAAGTTTTAGTGACTCCCTATTATCTCTAGGATAAAATAGAAGATGATTTGTTGGTCACTTAAACCCTTCACTGCCTGACTCCAAATTCTCTTTCTAGACGATTTCCCATTATTCCTTCTCACATACTCTACGTTCCTGTCCAAGTGATCTGCTTGCTGTTCTGCTTACAAGACATTTCACCTCCTACCTCTCTATGTTCTCTCTCTTTGCCCTTGCCTCTTGGAATACCTAACTCACTGAGCTCATGTCACCTCCTACAAGAAGCCTTCCCTGACCTACCAAGCATTAGCTGAAATTATTTTATACTCATTACCTACGTAATTTGTACTTGCTTATCTGTGTATATACTATCTTCTACCCACCCAGAGGAATGGAAGTTCTTTGGGGATAAGAACCCTTTCCTATTTGTCTTTGTATCTCTTTAACCTAGCCCAGTGCTTGAACATTATAGGTGCTATATAAATGCTTGTTCAGTGGAATTGAATGATTTGAGTCTTAAGAGTCAATAATGCGTGCTTTCTTACTAAAGCAAGTGAGGAAGTTCTTTCTGGATTACTTTGGGCCTACATAATTTCAGTCATAACTTTAGAACCCAATGACTTTCCCTACTCCATGCCAATCCATCAAACCCATTGCAAGTTCCATTCTTAGCAGCAATTTCTAGGTGTCAAAATCTGTGCAGTTGACTCTGGAAATGACTCTGTCTTGGGTTTGTTTGTCAGCCTATCCAAGCACGGCCCAGGAGTTATTGGTCCAGCTGAGCATTTATGCAAGGATATAGCAGACTCAGTAATTCTAACCCTATTACAGGGTTGTTGTCTTTTTTTGTTTTAAGCCTGTATCATGCATCTATAATCCATAGGTACATGATTGGCACCTTTTAAAGTAACTATCAGCCGTAGTTTCCTAAAATGTACAAAGACCATACTTTTTTAAATACCCCATTTATACAGTATCACATTAATTTAAGTTAATGCAATTTATTTATTGAGCATTTATCAATAGTCTGGTGTATGGAGAACACTATGGAAGGTGCTAGAACTAAAAAAAGATAAAGAAAAGGAAACAGTCCCTGCCTTCGAGGATTTTCCAATCTACAAATAATTAAGTGAAAATTAAAATGAGTGACATCAAAGAGAGTTGAGAGACTTTTTAAATATCTAATCTATTCGTTTTACTGCATAAAGCTTAGTAGAATTAACAAATATTTACATTGTTGAGTGTAAACTCAATTAGCACACTATATATCTCACTGTCCCCAAGCCATGATGTTCATGCCATCAGACCAATTTTTACATCATATCCAGTTGTCTACTCCAGCAATCTTATCATCTACTGATAGCCCACCCCACAGATTTCTCCCTATTGTACTAGAAATAGTAATCAAATCAATTCTACCATTGTTCCAGGAAAGGATCTGTCAGTTGGATGCCTTATGGATGGACTTGCCATCCTTATGACTCCCCAGAAAATTCCTTCCTTGGACACCACTCACTTTTATGTGTTGTCTCCCCATATTAGAATATAAGCTCCTTGAGGATAGGGACTGTCACATTGTTGTGTTTCTC